ACATAAGTGTGCTTGGTATTGCTTTTTTCAAGTACACTCATCTTCAATCTTCCATTTTGACTTTAATCTCCTATTTTTTTCCTTCTCATTTAATCTTTCAAGTTATTCCCCAAGTTCAACTTTTGCAACTTGCTTTTTACTTATCATTAAGAGCTGTCTATTATCTGTAAGCATTTGTGCAAGTGTTAAATAAGACCATCTCCAAACCACTTCCTGGAAGTGCCTATCTGTCCACTCAGAAGCGCATCCTGAGCTCCTCCTTCTGTCTTGTTTCTTGGCCAGCCTCCCATTCCTAACAAAATATTGTGAATTGGATGGAACTGGGACATGTCACTTGGTTAAGCTTTTTAAAAGATTAAAATTTCACTCTCTGCAACACTTCAACAGCAAATTTATTTTCTTCCTGTAATACATTATTCCACTTTTTTAAAAAAATAAGTCATTATTTGCTATAATCTGTTAGTTTTGAATATGGATCTCCCAATCAACCTAGGGACAGGGATCTGATTTGATGGCCCCAGGGCCTACTGAAACCCTTTCCTTGACAGCAGCCCTGAGGACACCAGCCACTGTTCCACTAAGAGCTGTCATCTATGAACCAAGTTTCATCTATACACGTGGGTGAGAGCCATCTGGTTTTGGTGATTTATCTCCATCTAGTCTGTTGATTTGGTCTGGAATGTCTTGAGTACTTGCCACTTCCTGATCTATTACCTCCAGTGTGTGTACTGCTGAGAGTGCCTGAGTGCAGGAATATTGCTCAGCAAAAACAAAAGGAAAAAAAAATTCATTTACACTCCATTTTATCTCCCAGCTTCTGAGTACATGCTCAGTATGATAAAAGCCAAGTGCTTCCACAGTCTTCATTTTCAGATTGTTTGTCTTTCAGTTCTGTTCTAGAAATCTCCAGCAAGTATTTTGTTTTTCAAATTCATTTTTGGGTACCTCATGTCTAGTGCACATGGGATCTATCACTCTTTATGGGCTCAATTTTATAACCTAATCCTTCAAATACTCCTTTTTCATTATATGTATTTAAGCATTCTTTTCCTTTCCTTTATTTTTTCCCTATGCACTTGGTGGTTTAAAGAGCTTGAGTACAAGACCTTTATTTTTCTTATCACACTTGGGTTCCCATAAGGTAATTTACATATTCTGCATTTTCTCCTGAACAATAGGATTTTTAAAATTTTAATTTCTTTATTAGGATATATTTGTCATACAGGGGGAATTCATAGTGACAATTCCAATTAGGCTTACCTCAATTGGCTACATTACCCCCTTTGTCTCTCCCCCACAAACACCTCCCCATTTAAAGCAATTGCAAGGGGTTTCTTTGTTCTATTTCATATAAGTATTTGAAGTCCACCTTAATCTCATTCACCCTCCCCTCTTCCCACTAGTACCCCCCATACACACAGTACTTATTTTACAGTCCTTTCATTATTAATATTTAAGTTGATGTTCAAAGGGGTTTCTCAATGTATCCCCACTGTGAATATACTTTATTTTGGTCCATCCAAAATAAAGTCTTTTTTCCCCTTGTGTTAGCACTGAGTCCCTTTTACAGGATTCTGCACTTGACATCTTTCTTTGGAGCACCCTCCTCCATTCAAATACTGAATTGAATGGAAATATATGTCATTTATGCTTACATGCTGCCATTTGTGTTAGACGTGGTAGGCATTCAGTGAACATTTCCTGAGTGACTGTATGATACCAACAGCTAACAATCATGTGGCACCTACTAGGTGTCATGTCCCATGGTACACTTTACATACGCTGCAGCATTAGATCTCAGGTGCTAGACTGTAAAGTTCATTGGCAAGAGTTTGCCAATGTATTATACCCAGCACCTGGAGCAGAACTGTACAGACTAGGAACCACTAAATATTTTCTGCATGAATAAACTGAAAAACTGCATGACGTTGGTGCACTCGTGTGTTACACAGGAGGAAACAGAAGCACAGAGAGGTTCAGTTTCTGAAGTCCTATAGTACATGGGAATCCAAGATGTGAACCCAAAGCCCACACATTTACCAAGACTTATTGTCAGCAAACCCAATTATCTACCCACATCAATGCAAACGAAATTAACCCCGCGCATCTTAACAGATACTATGTGATGTCACAAATACAAATCATCAGTAATAACTTTCTAACAGCAGATCTGCCAATGAAAAGTCTTTAATAATAATCAGAGAGGCAGATATCTATAAGAGTCTTATTGTTAGCTGTGCAAGTAAAAAATGTAACTTCCCTTTAGTCTATGTTTTATACTACATTTGTACATGAGTGAGTGAGGCTATTAGGCTTTTTCATAAATATATGCTTTGTTTTTCCTAGACTGGCTCTGGGTGTAAGTCCATTTTTCAATTCTTTCTAAAATAAGAACAGCACTAATGAAATAATTGCTTATGATTTCATTGTTAATTATCTATAGAGCTTATTAAAGTAGAAACCTTACATATTTCTCAAATGCCCCACTCCTGGTCACCGGAGTTTTCTGAAATACTACCCTAAGAAATCATGCTTTAAGGTCTGATTATTTGTATCTTTAACAATTCACTACTAAAAATCATATAATGAGAAGGGTGGTTCCTTAAAACTATTTTTATCTCTCTCCTTAAATCTTTATCAGCCCATACATTAGTGGAAGCTAAGTAATATTGAGCAGGGAACAAGGTCCATTGGGAGTGGCACATAGTGGTCTCTGAAGCTATGAGATGAAGAGCCAAACAGGAGTACAGGAAACAGAAGTAGACAAACACCAATGATGTTACCCAGTATAAGGAGGGAAGCAAAGAAGGAGAAAGGGGTGGGGGAGAAGCAAGGAAGGACAGAAGAATTTGGAAACCTTGAGTTTCAACTCTACTATTCACCTAGATCAGTCTCTGAGAGCCTCAGTTGTTCCATCTGTAAAACAGGACTGAGAGCCAGGCACAGGTGCTCACATCTGTAATCCTAGCTACTTGGGAGACTGAGACCAGGAGGATCATAGTTTGAGGCCAGTCCAGGCAAATAGATTGAGAGACCACATTTCCAAACTAACCAGAGCAAAATAGACTGGAGGTGTGGCTCAAGGGAAGAGTGCCTGCTTTGCAAGCATGAAACCCTGAGTTCAAACCCCAGTCCCACAAAAAAAAAAAAAAAACCCAAAGGGTGAGCAAAATATGATTTCCTCACAGACACTTTAAATAGCATATTTCAATGTGCCACGTAAACTGCACAGTATGTTACAACGTATGGTATGGTTTTTACCTGACATTGCTTGCCCAGAATCAGCCCCACGTGTGCTATAAACATTCATCTTGCAGAGACCATCAACAGCTTCAACTGTAGCCCCAGAGCTGTGTCTATCTTTTTGGTCTGGATGCATTCCTCATAACTTTAGCCCAAGTAAACAATACACAATTTTTAGCAGGCTTTGTGTGCCTGCAAGCTCAGAAGGCTTACTCTGTGCTCTCAGGACTAGAGTGTTATAAACCTCTGTTTAAACAAGAAAGCCTCTTTTAAGTGTTGTCTCAGCCTACCACCTTTAGTTGAGGTGGAAACTAAAATTGAAAACAGATAGATGTTTTACATTTAAATGGATTTAACATAAATGTGCATTAAGCCATTTCATGGACGATTGCACAAATATCTTTTGCAAACTTGGTACACTTGAGCACATACACAGTAACCATTCATGTCTTCTAGAGAAACAGGGTGCAGATCCGAAATTTTAAACAGCTACTTGGAGTTCATTTCACCCGAAAGAAACTGTAATGGCTTTAAGGGAATTGCTGTAATAATACCATGGCATCTGCAATGGCTGGCCAGAGCAGAGCAGAACACAGTATATGTCACCGCAAGTCAATTTAACAAGAAATAAGCTTCCCCCTGGAGAATCTAAACTCCCTTGCCTCCCACAAAGAAAATTGAATTTTGGAGGTCACACCTTGGGTAGGTTACCAGAGGCAGAAGCTTAACATTCTTTTTGTCATGTGCAGTAGCAGGTCAATGCTGTTCTACCAACAAGTCGCTACAGAAGATCTGTTTCCACTTCCCCAAAGCCCCAAAATTAAAACTTAAACCAACTTTTGGAGTCCCCTAGGACAGCAAGTTGATTGTAACTCTAAAGATACCTGGGACCACACCAGATAAAATCACGTCCAAACATGGAGTTTTGCACCACGCAGTGAACAGCAGGGTTTGTACTGGGGGGATCAAGGGAGGGGGTGGGAGTCCAGAAAATATGAGACTGTGGTGAAGGGTCTGGGAAAGTGAGACAGCCCAGCATTAGACTGAAATTAGATTGAAATATGACTCAACCGAATTGCTGCCACCAGAGAGGAGAGAGAGAGAGAGAGAGAGAGAGAGAGAGAGAGAGAGAGAGAGAGAGAGAATGGTCACCAAGTCAAGACCAGGCGAAGGCGAAGTCCCTCCTTGTAGGAGGACCGCTCCCTCCCGGGGTGGGTGGTCGAAGGGCCTCGCGTGGTCTCGCAGTCACCCGGCGCTGGCCCAGCACACCGCACCTTCCACAGCGGCTCTGGGTGGCCAAAGCCAGGTCACTGCCACCGCCCCCCGCAGCAACATGTGGGGTGCTGCCACGCCACTGCCGGGGAACTCTCTCCAGCTGGAGTTCCTGGTGGACACTCGCTTGGCCCTGGGATGGTGTGGAAGTACTCCTTGGGAAGATTCCTCCAGCCTTGAACTTGGCAGCTCCGGCCATTTCCATCCCACCCCATGGCGCGCCGCGCCGCGCACACACACCGCCCCCGCTCTGGACCTGCCCGGGCTGCGCGCGGCGCTCTCTGCCCACTCCACGGCAAAGCGCGACAACGGGGTGCAGAGGCGGCCGCCCCGGCTCCGCTGGCCCCAGAGGGGTTGGCCTAACCCTGGGTAGTTCCCGCGACTCAGCCCTAACCCTGGCTTGGCCCAGGCCCCGCAGTCGCCGGGGCGGCTGGCACCAACCGCGTCTGCTTTTGTGCTCCCCGGGGAAGCCCGCTTCTACTCACCCGGCTTGCGCGCGGATTCCGGCCGCCAACGGCAGCCCGCTGCCCCATCCCACGAACACTGCGGCGCCCCCAGTGTGCAATGCGGAGCCCCACCAGCGCGCGGCCGGAGCCCGGGAGCGCAGGGTGGGAGCGACCGGGGGAGGGAGGAGGGGAGTGAAGGAGGAGCGCGGCGGGGACGGAGGAAGGAGGGAGGGGCCCGCGGGGGGTGCGCGCGCGCCACTCCCACTCATGCCCCGCACTCGCCGCTGCTCGCAGCAGCTGCCGTGCGCCCGGCCTCGCGGATCCCGTGACCAATCAGCGAGCGCAGGAGGAGCCGAGCCCTCCGCGGGGCGCGCTCATTGGTTCAGGCACGCGACCCAAGTCCTGGAGAGTCAGCCCGAGAGCCAAGCGTGCAAACTCCGGCTGGCTGGAGCAGACCTCCCAGCTCAGGTGGGGCGCCCTGCACCGTGCTGCGACCGCAGAGGGAGCGGAAAAGGGGAGAGTTGGGACCTGCCCGGGAAGCCGGTTCCCAGACAGCATCCAGAGCTACTTTCTTTGCTCAGGTTGCAGATTCCTTCCTGTATGCGACCGCGCCGGCCTCACCCCGGCCAGCATCAACGCGTCCATAAGCCTAGCAGACTGAAAAGTCCTCAGACAAATCTCACTCCCAACTCTGCTTGAGGGCGAAACCAGCTGGACCTAAGAACCAGAGCTAAAAAACAAGTCGAGCTCCAAATCCAACAGGTGCAATAGAGGACCCAGATCTCAGGGCAGAGGATGATGGGATGGGGAGGCAGGTGTTCGTTTAGAAATGAGAACTTGGTTATGGAATGTGGTGACAAAAGCCCAGGGCATAATTCTCCCACCCTCTGCAAACCCTTTCCCTAAGTAAACTACCCCCCTCGTGCCCAACCCTCTCAGGAGGATTTTTCTCTTCCTTGCAAACCATTCTTTTTTTTTTTTAGTGTTTTTTTAATTTTTTATTTATTTTATTTTTTATTTTTATTGTTTTATTATTCATATGTGCATACAAGGCTTGGGTCATTTGCAAATCATTCTTAACATTTCTGAAACTAGGAATGTCCCTATATAGCTATCCTTACATCAACTAGCAAAAAACCCTGGTCCTCCTTATTAATGTTCATACTCTCTAACAAAATTAGAAATAAAGGCGAAACAGTTTCTGCTTGGAATCGACGGGGTGGGGGCGAAGGGGGGTAAACGGGGGAGTAGTGACCCAATCATTGTATGCACTTATGAATAAAGGAAATTAAAAAAAGACACTTCTGAATTTTTCAGTTCCCATCCTTAAATGCAAGTGGAACCCATCTCTATCCTGCACATCTGAGCAGTGCCAGCAGCTGACAGCGAGATGGAATGACCAAAGAAGACCCTCAAGAAGATCTGGAGAAAGAAAGACTCCACAGTGTGCCCTGGAACTGCGAGCTGGGGACCACTGCCACACCTCTGTCTGGCTACCATCCAAAAGAGTGGTCTCACCCCGAGGCTACATTGGTCCATTTTGACTTTCTTCTTCCTTCCCCTTGGACTTTTGCCTTCCTAGAGCTTTTTTATAGAACGCCTCTGAATCTCCCAGCCTCTGCCCTTCTTCATAATCTACTCCATCTCAACATAAAAATATTCCTAACTTTAAACAAAATAAACCAGTCACTCTGGGGAAGGGCCTAGAATAAGGTATTTCTGACCAACAGTTCCTGGATTGAGACATTGTTTGCCTCAGTTTATGTGCACAAGCATTCAGAAGCCAAGGTTCAAGTACACAAAAATAATGAGTGCTCCCCTTAGGACCTTTTGACAAGCAATGAAGAGAACACCACCTGTCTTCCTGCAGGGCTCTCATCATCACCCTGAATGAATTGAATATGAATTGATCAAACTGAGCCTTAGTATTCTGTCCCTTGTATCTGTGCAGGTTACCTCTGCAGGTGAGAGTCTGTTTCTAATGAGAACACGTCAAGGATGTCATCTCTGCTACTTTTGTGTCCTTTCCAGGGAAGAAATCCTGTCTTCGGCAGGTCTAGATCATGAACTTTTAAATAATTTTTTTAAGTTATTCAAGATGGAGGGTTTAACTTAGTGGTAGAGTGCTTGCTTAGCATGAGAAGGCCCTGTGTTCAATACCTAGCACCACAAGAAAAAAGTTAAGTTAAATAAATAAATCGCTCAGAGCATAATTTGGATTCAAAATGAAGTTCAGTGTATTAAAGCAGGTCATGAGAACAGACATCCTGGTATAAATGGAATCCTTAGGCCTGCTTTCCAAAAGTGATTTTAGAAAAATAGAAGGATTTGAGTGTGAATGCACTCCATTGTTATCTTTGTGTGTTGGGATAATGGGTAGTTTTCTTTTAACTTTCTTCTCTTTTTCTATTTATCTATTTGTATTATTGTTGTATTGGGGATACATTGTGACATTTACAAAAGTTCCTACAATAGATCATAGTTGAATTCCCCCCACCCATCATTCTCCTTTATCCTCCTTCCCTTATTCCTGGAATATTTTCAACAGTTCTCATTTTCTTCTTCACTCTACTTTATTGCATTTTCAGAAAAGAAACTTTAACAACATGTTATCTATCCATAAACAATATTCATCAGGCATTAGAAAAACTGAATTTTTGAATCCTCCTTCCACTTAATCACTGAGCCCTATAATTCTGTCTTCCACAATAGCTCTCTGCTCTGTCCTTCCTTGACATCTCTGTTGCCACTGGCACACCCTCCTCTTACCAGAAGTGGGGACAGCTCTTAACCATTCTTCTCTCTGGTGGGCAACCACACTGCCAGCTCTACTGAAGAATCTCTAATGTGGTCATGCCATTAAAACCTTCAGTCTCCCAAATGATGGAAGTTAACCAAAGGCCTTTCCTTCCCAGTCTGAGCCAGCTTTCCATGTTGACCTCATCTTGCCCCCACATTCCCTTACACATGATGATCCTGCCCCACAGGCTACTTCCTATTAAAAAAAAAAAAAAGCAGGGTTTAGGTTCACTTGAATATACGTCAACCATAGTCTTACTACATTGTGTTATAATCTGTTGATTTATTTATTGGAAGTTCTGTCTTTCATCATACTCATCTGTGTACCCTCATGTAGAACATAGTGCCTGGCCTCAGTAGGTGCTCAGTAAAAATTTTTAAATAAATGGATGGGTATTTGAAATTCCTGTGAAGCATCTTATTTCATGTGTTAGCCTGTTTTTACAAGACCCAAAGGCTTCAGTTCTGTGTGGTGAAAATTATTAATCATAAAAATTAATTATAATCATAATTATAAATCCTTGTTTCATCTTTCTTAACTCTAATTTGGCTCTTCCTGCATTAATTATCTAATATCATCTTATTTGATTTCACATTTAAGAGATACAGCTAATGAATTACTTGTAGGTAATCTAGTGTTGTTAGGAGGAAATTTTCCTTTTTGTTTTTTACAACTTTTATTTTCAACATAAAAATCCAAGGCCCAAAATGTTAAGATACAAAATGAGAAACACAATTCAGAAGAAAAAATATACAATTTCAACTTTGTCAAAATTAAACTATTTCCTCTGCAAACAACACTGTTAAGGGAATGAAAAGACAAGGATCAATTGGGAGACAATATTTGCAAATCATTTATACAGGACTTGGAGCCAATATGCAGCGAACTCTCAAAACTCAACCAGAAGAAAAGAACCAATTTTTTTAAATGGATAACAGATTTGGACACACACTTTCCCAAAGAGGATACACAGATGTTAAAGAGAACATAAAATGATGCTCAATATTATTAGTCACTAGTGAAATACTAATTAAAACCACAATGAAGTGCTACTATATGCATATTAAAATAGCTTAAAAATAAAAGAAAAAAGCAGGCCAATGGCTCATGCCTGTAAACCTAGCTACCCAGGAGGCAGCAATCAGGAGGATTGCAGTTTGAAGCCAGCCTGGGCAAATAGTTCATGAGACCATATCTCAGAAAACCCCATCACAACAAAGGGCTGGTGGAGTGCCTCAAGCTTCAATAGTGCCTGCCTAGTAAGCATGAGGCTCTGAGTTCAAACCCCAGTGCAGTCAAAAAAATGAAAAGAAAGAAAAGAGAAGTCTGACCAATACCAAGGCTGATGAGGATGCAGACAACTAAAACTTTCATACATTGCTGGTAGGGATGCAAAATGGTCTGGCCACACTAAAAATAGTTTTGCAGTTTTTATAAAATTCAGTATACATTGACTTGTATAATTAATTAATCCTACTTCTAAATATTCACCTAAGCAAAATGAAAAACTTGTGTTCACAGAGAAACCTACAAACATGTTTTTGTAGCAATTTTATTATCCAAATATTAAAACAACACAAAAGTTCCTTAACTGGGGAATAAACAAACTGCAGTGCATCCACAGAATGGAATACTGCTTAATAATAAAAAGAGTAGACTACTGACATAAGCAACATTTTGTGCCTCCAATGCATTATTTAGACTCAAAGGCTAAAGTCATGCTCTGGTTAAGAAGAGCAGAGCAGCAAGATAAAGGACTTGAAGTTTCCTGTGATGATGGAGGTGCTCTTTGAAGTCTGTAATCTATATTTACACAAGGCAATTGTTTAAACCATTGTCATTTTGGACTTCCTTACACACAGACCTAAATCGTATTTTACCTAATATATAAGCTCTTGAGTTAATTAATGGAAATTCCACTGACTGCATGCTTATCTTAATTCACTGAAATATCACCAATGCCTTATCCTTTGCTCTACACAGTGTGTACTCAATAAATATTAGTTAAATGCATAAACAGATAAGGATGAAGACAAAGTTAGGAATTTTCAGGAACAGAATTTTATATTCAGATCAGTGTGTTCTCCTTCAAAGTAGCTAGTCTGACACATTTTTCATTCCAGTGATTCTGCTTCCATCTCAAAATATATTCTCTGTCCCTTTCTATTTATTAAAATATTGCTCTTTCTTTAAATAAAATTGTTTCCCTTAAATGAGTTATTTGCTTTCTTTCTTCCCTTCAATGAGTAAACAATAAATTTAACAAGTCTTAACATTTTATTCATTTTTCAATATCCCAAGT